CTGCCCCTCCCCTGTTCATGCTCTGTCTCTCTCTGTCCCAAAAATAAATAAACGTTGAAAAAAAAAACAAAAACAAATAAGCATTAAAAAAGAAAGGATAGAGGTATGATCTCTGGACAGTAGAGGGGATAGGGGAATGGGGGTCCACATCCCAACTCTGAGGTCCCTAAAGAGGACCTCTGGACTTGTTTCTTTCTACCCCCCAGGGCCCAGGGCAACACTGGGCACAGAGAGGTTACCCAGAAAAGTGAGTCAGGTGGATGAATGGATGAATAAAGGATTGAATGAGTGCAGCATGGTCACTAATGGTCTGCAAGATGGGGCTGGAGTGGGGAGAGCCTCTTGAGTGAGCGAAGGTGGCGTTAGGAGAGAGGTGAACAGGCTGGTGATAGGTTTTAGACTTCTGTGTAGCCACAAAATCGCAGAAGTCCAACATGTGAAAAAGAGAGAGCTCTTCAGGCTACAGGGGGGCCAGGAGCATGCATGCTTGCAACTCCCCCTTCGCCTAGGGATCCTCAGAGCAGGGCCTGAAATGACTATAGTGAAAAAAAGCAGCGAGTCGAGAATTCCAGCTTCTAGACCCAGCTCCGCCATCAACCTGAAGTGAGATCTTAGGCAATGACTTGCAGTCCCTGGGCCTGGGTCCCCCCCTGCTCCCCGCCGCCCCAAATGAAGAGGTGTGGAGGACACAGATTTGGGTCCCGATGCTGAGGTTTAGATTTGGACAAGGGGGTTTGCTGGCAGGGGCTCTGAGGGCCAGGGAGGTGCTACAAACTCACTTTCTTGTTGTCAGCTCCGACGTTTACAGCCCCTCCTGTAGAGACAGGAAAAACAAGACTTTGGGCAAAGGGTCAAGGCCAAGGCCAAGGTCCACACAACATGGGCAGGAGAGAGGGCCAGGGGCCCCGAGCCTGCTGTGGCCTCTTTTCCCTCAGTCAGTGACCCAGCCCTGTCTTTTGTCTGATCCTAAGCATGGCCTCAAGCCTGTTTGCTTCTACCTTATAATTGTTTTCTCAGCTTCTCCCTGTGTTATTGGCTGCACCTCTCAAAACTATTCTTTATTCAGTCCTCCCCCTACCCGTCAATTATTGGCTTCACCTTTGCATTGGCCTCTCCCTTCCTTAGAGGCTGTTATCATCCACCCACCTTCCTTGGTGCCTAGTGATCCCTGCTCATACCCCCTGTTGGCTTCTTCCATTACTCCCACCCTGCAGTTCTTTCCTGCTCTAACTCAGCTTACCACCCCACTCCCTTGCTTCCTGCTCTTGGCAGGCAATGACCCTGTGCTTGTGTCTCAAAAGAACTCCCTTCCCTGACCCTGACCCTTCCCCTCTAGGCTGCTCCATGTGGTCTTGAGAGATGGGGGCAAGACACCATCACGGAGCTGGTAGTTGCTAGTTTCTCTGCCTGGACACTCACCCAGATTTCGTCCTGAGCCCTTGGGCAGCAGCTGCAGCAGGGTTGAGAGGCTGGAGAGCTGCTCAGGGGTCAGCTGACGCAGCTCCACCCCATAGCCCGCCAGCACAGATGCCAGTCTCTGCAGAGTCACATCTGCTGGGAGCAAGACACAGAGCTCATGGTGAGAGGGTGGTGGTGAGATGAACTTGTGGGATGTGCTGGGGGTGGGGGAGGGTACTAGCACATTTAAGAGCTTCTTTTCAAACACCAGGAAACTGATGCCCTCCACCTTCCAGCTCTTGTCCACACTTTGGGGGGAAAGGCCTTCCTAGGGCCAAGACCAGACTTCAGGCCCACCATGGACATCGTGACTCTCCAGCTGAAGGAGTTATGTCAGCTCCACCCCCTACAGTATCCCCACTGCCCGCCTAGTGCCTGGCAGAGATTAGGTTGTCAGTGGACATTAATTAAATGTATGAATGACTTTAAGGGCAGATTAATGAATGCATGGATAGTTAGGAAGGAGACCCCGAATGCAGCGCCCACAGGAGGGGAATGGATGCTGAGAACTCCATTACCTGGCTGCTCTGCTGGAGAAGGAAGCTTCTCCCTGTGACCTTCTAGCCCTTCTTCCTCGTAGCCCTCTGAAGAATCCTTTGGCCGGCTGCTGCCCCCTTGCTCTGGCAGCCTCGGTGCCCTGGCCCTGCTGGGCACTGGCAGCTCCTGGGCCAGGTAGAAAAGCCCTGATTCCTGGAAAAGCTGACCAGGTGAAGGCCCTGGAGGGTCCCCGTAGGAGTGGTCAGAGTGAGCCCCAAACATGCCCTTGGAGGCAGTTCTGCTGAAGAGGGCAGAAGGTTCGGCCTTGGGTATGGGGCCGACACTGACCATCCCAGGTGAGCTCTCTGAGCCCCGAGAGCCATCACGGGAGCCAAACTGTGGGGAAATCAGAGATCCAGGTGAGAGCAGATGTCAGGGCTCGGGGATAGGTGTTGGGGTGGGGCCGGTGTTTAAAGCTCACCTGATGAAACAGGTAGGGCTGCAGCAGGGCAGGTTCATAGCTCAGGGCAGGGTGGGGGGCCTGCGGGGGTAGCAGCAGATGCTCCAAGAGGGGGGGCAGCAGTTCAGCCTGCAGAGAGGACAGTGGAGAGCCCACCCCACCACCACTCCCACCCACTGGAGGTTGAGGAAGCCGGTGCTGGGCAGCAGGGGTGGAGCCAGTAGGGATGCCCTGTAAAAGCAGCTCCCCAGCAGAACCAGGTCTCCTGGGCACCAAGCCAGATCTGGGGAAGAAAGCAAAGTGTATGTGTGTGTGTTGGTTGCACGGGGCAAGGGTGTACAGAGCCTACAGGACACAGAGATGGTGGGACCAGACAGGCTCAGCCGTTTACAGTAAGCCTGACCTCTTAAAAAAAAATGAGGTAGTCTCAGGGAAAGAGACAATAGCATGGGGAAGGACCAGAGGGCCAAGCCTGGGCATAGATCATTGCCTCCCGGGTAAGCATGCCTGGGTCTCTGAAACACAGCGGCAGAGGTTAGGGAAGAGTGAGGCAGGGGATGGAAAAGGAGAGAACGGCTACAGGGGAAGGCAGCCAGGTACCTCTCTAGATAAACTGGGGCTACAGTTTGCCTCGTTTCCCCTATATTCATCTGCCCACACCTGGCCTTCAAACACTCAGTACTGTGCCCCTTGACTCTACCCTCCCACCCCACTCTGCCTTTTTTCTCCTGGTATCATCACTTGAGCCCCACGACCCTCATTTACTTTCCTCTGCTTTGCAGGGTCTGAACAATGCTTTCATAGGCCCTAACCACAAAAAGATGATGATCTTTCCACATATCATTCCACATATCAATGAAATGGAACATTAAACAACTTCAGTACGACAAAACTCGTATTTGTCCCATGCTGACCCTTTGATGCTTCTTTTAAATTATGAAATGTCCAAGTTTTCAAAAATATTTTTTTGCTGTTTTACTGGATCCCCGGGGATGAGCTCAGCTCCTACTAAGCATGTGAACATGCCAGATGACCACTCCTGAACCTCTGTTACTTGTGCCTTAGGCTGCTGACCTTGGTGGTCACTTCCCTCTGTCCATTAGGAAGACCACAGGCCCACCAGCCTTTCTGTGCTCGAGCTGTTGAGAAAAGATGCCTACCTGTCCCTTGGACGGGGCTCTGGGGGGCGAAGCCTGGGGATGCGCTCCATCTCCTGGGAGATCACATACTGGGTGAGGTCATCGTGCCAGGACAATCCTGCCAGGGGACAGGATAGGGTGAGGTTGGCTCGGGACAGTCTGAGGGCCCAGTAACGGTGAAAATCAAAACCGCACTCCCTATCCGGCAGTGTACTGAGTTTGGTAGAGCAGAGGGGCAGTGGAGGCGCTCCAGAGACTTGGTGGCTGAGCTGAGCTGCCCTCTTCCCAGTCTCAGGTACAGATTTGGGAGTCAGACTGCCTCCAGTGAAACTAAGTTTGCCACTTACTCATTGTGTGACTTGGGGCAAATTGCTGAACCTGTCTGAGCCTCAATTCTCTCTTCTGTAAAATGGGGGTTTATACCTCCTAAGACTGTGATAATTAAAATAACCTAATGTAAAATGGTATGAACTGTACCTGTCACGTTGTGAACTTTAAACAGCTGCTCTTATTATTGCCATCATTATCCCTCCTATTCTTATTTTTGTTGACCCTGAACCTTGCTTTTCTTTATTGGTAAGGTGGGAAAAAGGCATACTTCATGGGGCTGTTGTGAAGATCAAGTGCAATCAGGGAAATGAAAGTGCTTAGAAAACTCCAAAGCACTGCACACGTTTTAAACCTTCACCACCACCCCCGCCTCCACCACCACCATCAATTATCTTGTGCTGACGCAGATCTCCTGTCTGACTCTTGCCTTTCATGAAACTGCTCTCAGGAAAGGTCAGTCACCTATTCTAAAGGAATAATCTCCCACTCTCTACTCCCATTCCTTCTTCCTTGCTTCTGAATTAATAGTCTGCTCTTAACTCATATTCTAGGATCTACTAGCATCCATACTTGCCTTCTTGCCTATGAACGTTAGATAGCTCATCCTATTTAGGCCCAATCCCTCCAGTTAAGCACTAGATTTCATCCCCTACTATCTACTCAAGAACATCTTCTCTGCAATTTCCCCCTATTTCCTATATGATCATTTTTCTCTGCTCTCTACCGAATTATTCTCTTTAGCATACAAACATGATGGAGCTCCTTTCAACTTAAAAAGTTACTGCATGACTCCACATTCCTCTCCATCTCTCACTCCATTTCTTTCCTTTTCTTTGCAGCAAGACTCCTTGAAAATGTTATCTGTGCTGGCTGTATCCAATTCTTTTCCTCTCATGCCCTTTGAATCCACTCTATTCAGGATTTTATTCCCACCTATTCTACCAAAACTATTTTCATCAAAATCGCCAGTGACTTCTGCATATCTAAAGCCAGTGGCCAGTTCTCAGATCTCATCCCATTTCATTTATCATCATTATTTGATACCATTGATCGCTCCTTCCTCTGCAATACACTTCCACTTGGCTTCTAGAACACTAGACATTCTTGTTTTTCCTCCTACCTCATTGGTTCCCCTTTCTCCGTCTCCTTTGTTGGTTCCTCTCCTTGTCCTGGTCCTCTTAATATTATAATTCTCTAGGCCTCTTCTTCATATACACTAAAGCCTTTGCTTATCTCATCTACATCATGGGTTTAATTGCAATTTATATCTCCACTCCGGAATACTTCATATTTCAAAACCCAACCTCATACTCTCAGCTTCCCACTGTACTTGAATGAACGTCTTTTTTTTTCATTTTTTATTTATTTTAGAGAGACAGAGAGAGAGGGAGAGTGAGAGAGAGAATCCTTAGCAGGCCCCACACTTAGCACAGAGCCTGACATGGGGCTTGAGCCCGCAACCCTGGGATCATGACCTGAGCCGAAATTAAGAGTCAGATGATCAACTGACTGAGCCACCCAGGTGCCCCTTGAAAGAACATCTTAAATTCCTCCCTGCAACCACCTGGTCCATGCCACATTCATCTCTTACATGAGTCACTGCGGTAGCTTTTAATGATCTCCCTGCTTCTACCCTAGACTCCCTTCAGTCTATTCTCAACAACAGCAAGCATGACCCTTTTAAGGTAGACGTGAGATTATGCGCCCCTAGGCTCAAAACCTTGTGATGGGTTCCTCTTTTACTCAGAGTAAAGACAACAATTTTCTTATAAGGCCCTACAATGATCTGCGTCTCTTCCCCCCATACCTATCTGACTGCATCTTCCACTTTCCCTATCACTCCTCTATAGCCACACCATAGAGGTGTTCTCCATGATGTTCTTCAAACTCATGCTTCTGCTTTAGTAAAGGCTTTTGTTCTAGCTGTTTGATCAGCTTGAAACACTGCCCCCAGATAACCTTCTGGAAAACACCTCCACTGCCTTGATGTCTTTGTTCAAATTTCATAGTCTCACAAAAGTCTACCTTGACTACCCAGGTTGATACTGAAGCTTCCTACCCGACAATTTCTGACCTCTTTATCATGCTGTAATATTTGTAATTTTTTCCATGTCACTTATCATCTTAAAACATACTATATGTTTTCTAATTTATATATTGCATTCCCTTCCTAAATTCCAAAATGTAAGCCCCAATACACAGAGATCTTTGTCTGTTTTATTCCCTGATACATCACAAACACCTAAAACTAAGCTTATATAGTAAATCCTCAATAAATAGTTGTTAAATGAGTGAATTTTATGAGTGGAGTGATCTGGCAGAGCACTCCAGGATTCATGGTTCTGGAGCACTCAGTTCCAGGGAGTGCACTGGCCCTAGGGAGACGGATGCTGGTCTCTTCCAGTGGCTCCTTCTAGAAGCCTCCTCTAGACTCTTCCAAAGAGTCTGAGTGTGGACAGCCCATCTCTATGGCTCCACCTCCCACTCCTGTCTTGCCCCCTTCTCTAGCAAGGTCTGTGAAGGTGAGGCTCCAGAAGTAGGTGTGAAAAGAATGTTTCATAAAGAGAAACCCTTGAGTCAGGTGCACGCTCACTTCCCCACCCTATACAACCAAGTTTCCAAGGCCTCTCTTTCAGTGCAGCTAGACCTCACCTTGGGACATGAGCTGTCGGAGCACACTTTGTAAGCGCTGAAGAACTGGGGAGGTGACTTGCAAAAGGGGCCGGGCTTGCCCCACTCCCACCTGGCATTGTCCAAACAAGCCATCTAAGAGCACAAAAGTGGTGTCAGTAGGGGGCTTGGACAAGAGGCTTTCTAAAGTCCAGGTTGCAAATGGGCACTATCCTCTCCATCTCCTCTCTTGGCTTCAGAACCCTGCTCCTTCAGGCCCTTCCCACTTCTCCCCAGGACTAGTACCACTTCCCCCCCCCCCGACCTCCCCCACACTTCTTTCTTGTTGTGTTCCCCATCTTGTAAATCCTATGCCTGAGCCTCACTCACCCTGAATACAGACTTCAAGGTGAGAGCAGAGTCTGCGGTCAAACAGACAGCCTGTAGGGGGAAAGGTGAGCTGCTCAGACATCCACACACATAGAATGGTCAGAGGATGAACAGGCTGGGAAAGGGGGAAGGAGATGGGGTCCATTCTTTCATTCTAAGAAAGGATTGAAGCTGGGAGGAGAGTAGGGAAGAGGCCTAGAATTCTTAACAGAAGGAAGCACAGGATCTGACTTTGGATTTTAAGGATCTGAGAGCCTGGATAGTTTTCCTAAAAACCTCAGTTTGCTTAACTGGGTGATGGGGAGAAGCCTTCCAGGTGCATGGGGGTAGTAGAGGATCATATACTTCTACTCTCATAGAATTACTACGGGGACATTTTTGGCCAAATTCTGAGAAGGGACTTTCCTCCCCAAATCTCCCAAAGCATCCTAACTATGATAAGTTGGGACTCAGAAGTGATGGAAACCCTAGCACACCTTCCCTCCGTGTGGGAAAGGGGTAAGGGTGGGGTGTCTCTAGGGCAATGCTCTCCACACTGTTCCTGAGGTCAGCGGCCCCAGAGCCGCTGGCGCTGTCCACGGTGCTGAAGCTCTGAGCCTGAGGCCGCCGAGGGCTAGCCTGGAAGCAGTTATGGGGGAGGGAGGGGAGCTAGGGTCAAGAATCTCCACAGCCCTGACCCCTCCACCGTTCTAGACTTCATTTGCCACCCTACCAACCCACAGTGCCACAGGAAGTACCCTGTATTGGCCTCCAAACCAGGTGGGGAAGGAGGGCGTCAGTGAGGCTGCGCCCCTTCCCCCACGCACCCCACCACCCCACCCTCCCC